TCTGAGGGCAGGACAAGTCCCCAGCAGTCTTTACATGACCTATATCTGTGCAGTTTGATGGACTCTTCTATAATTAACCATTGTCAAGAACACTTCTGAAAATGCCGGCTGGCATTTCAAATAGGAACATCAGATTAGGGAGAAGAGAGGTAATGAGGTGCAAGGAGAAAATCCTCCCCTGGGGAACAAATCAAACCTGATATCATCATGAAGGGTAATGAGAAATGCACTGCCGAACTGAGATTCACCACAGCTGCCTAGAGGAAGCGAAACATTCCTATTTAAAACACCAGAGAGAGGCTGCTACTGTTTTGGTCTGCTGGTTAAGTCAGGGGATGCACAGCTTGCACACCTGCCTTTTGCACGTAGTTTTGCCACATGTTTCCTGAGTCCTTGTGAAGTCATTTCACTTCTCTGTGACATAAGGTATGTCTACATAGGTGTGTGCAAGTCAGTGCAAACAGAGTGTGCCCGCACACCCACACGGCACATTCTGAAGCTGTGACTGTATCTACACTGCTACATAACACAGGGCTAAGTGGCACAGACTGGTCCTGTCCACACTACACAGAACTTGGCCTGTCTCTTCTTTTTTGCTCTCACGTGATGCTCCTGTGGCCATGAGGAAAGACTTTTTTTTCTCTTTCCTTATTTCATAGTATCTTTACTAATATGAGGCCTTATGGCACACCCATCACAGCAGTATTCTTGTAGCACCAATCTGAGGATTTGTGTTGCTATTCTGGCATGTGGCAGGAAAGCCCATGTCTGTGTCTGGAGGAGCAAAACCAGTTTTGTTGGTGTAGGAGAGCTGCACAGGGTGGAAGGAACCAGAACTGTACTCTTCTGTCTTTACTGCCCTTGGGTATCCTGTCCCCTGGAGCAGGCATAGGTGTCACTTGGACCTGCAGTGCCAGACAGTGTGCTGACAATTCAACAGCATTGAGCACCTATGATCCTGTAAATCAATTTGTTTTCTGGCTCTGCTGTACTTAGCAGTAAAAATGAAACCCGTGTGGCCGTGTCAGCATGGCTGTGTGCCCACACTGATAGATAAGTCAGGCTATATTATTTCACGCACAGTGCTACACAGTTGAAGGAGCTGTGTCCACAAGAGCTCATGTCATAGATACAGCGAGTATTAGGTGTCTGTCATTGTAATTGCTAACCTTACTAGGGCTGTAGTGAACAGATACTGGGATACCCAGTAGCTTAATTAAAGTGTGGAAGAAGCATTGATATTCTCTACATAGAAGCTGGAGCAATATGTTGTTGCTTGAGACAGTTTTCAGCCTTGAGCAATTTTCAGACCACAAGCAAGTAGTCCAGGAGAAGCACGGGTTACCTGTAGCAAAACCCTCTTGACTGTGAGTGTGCTTTCCTGGGCTCCTGGCATGTAGTCACAGGACCCTCGGGGATCCAAGAACCACCAGTTAACGACTACAGACACTTTTGGGACAGTGGACATTACAAGGAGGCGATAGAAGTAGGTGGTGAATGTGAGACCTCCCTTAGCATGTTTTATGAGGCACTAAAAACTGATGGGGTGTTTGATGCCCAAGTACCTGCTCTCTCTTCCCAGGGACAAGGATGCCATTTCACACAGCTATCTGTGGGAGCAAGGGGACTAGGATGTGAGAACAGAGCAAGCCTGCGGGGCATCCTCAGTGTGAGCCAGTGGTCCTGCAGGGCTGGAAGGGTGTCCTGTCCATGCACAAGCATGAGGGCCCTGTGCCAAGAGGGGCAAGATGTTCTTACCCTCACCTGCCATCCTGTTGATGTACTGTCATTGCTGATAGTAATCTTACATGTCTGCAATCTTGGTCTCATCTGTGTCTGCAATCTTGGTCTCATCTGTGTGTCACCTCTCATCCTGTGACAGCTCTTCCCCCACGCTGCCGCAGGCACCACAAGAGGTTTTGTTGTTCCCCAAGTTATGTGGCGGGGAAGCATTTTCTCCATGCAGCTCTCTGCCATTCATTCTAGATCCTGGGGTAGGATTTGGGGCTAATGCGGCTTGAACTGCCCTTGGGCTCCTTGCAGCGTAGCTGTGTCATTTTTCTACCAAAAGCGTTGCTTGGCATTTTACTTAAACCTTGTGTGGTGTGAGTTGCATGGATGTCAGACAGCATATTGTGAGTCAGAGCGAAGGCAGTCGGTATCGCAGTGCTCCAGTAGAAGAAAAATGTAAGGGTAACTATTACAGTATTTACAGCATCATTTTTCATATCGAGATTTGCACAAGCTTGTTTGAGTTATTCAGCATAAAAAATATGCGATTATAAAGGAGCTGACTCATTAAAACAGTCTCTGTTTCTCCAGAGAACCCAGGAGAAAACACAGTGCTTTGATACATCTAAATTCACTCAAGTGTGCCTGGTGCTATCGCTTAAACTACATAGAGAATATCTTTCTTCCCTGCACTGTTCCTGCCAATTCCCTCTTTCCTTAATGCTTCCCCTGACTTTTCTTCTTCCTGTCTATAATACAAATGTAAGGAGAAATGGCACCTTTTTACTCTGCAGATTTGCCCGTTGTGTGCATTCTTACCTGCCAGCAGTAGTGACTGCAAATGTTTCCTGCTTTTTGCCATGAGAGTCACATGGAATGAAAACAGCTAAAAAACAGTGTAAGGCAGAGTGTGTTTCTTTCTGTGAGTCGTTAGTGTTTGGTACACATTGGTTTCTGGGCCACCCGAATACCTACAGAAAGCCAATGTGAGGCAAATTATGGAGAGCATAAGAAGTGAGCACAGGAGTAACTCAGGGAGGATTTGACCTGCAGAATCTATTACTGACCGTGCTAACGGGGAGATATGAGCTGGTTTCTAGGTCCTGGTCCATAGGCTGGACAATTGACAAAAATGTGTTTTTACTTGCAAACTGAGGAGATGTGACATGGTATGTCTAACATGATGTACAATGTGATACCATAAAAATGAC